TACTTCATTACAAAGGATGTATTGAATAATTTAAGTGATATATGTGTACACATATAAATCATTTGTCAAAACAGGGCTACATTTGATTCAATTATAAAAGGTATATGTGGTCAAATGAAGAGCCGTTTGGGAGCCGAAAGAGCCGGCTCTTCTTGGTGAGCCGAGCCAAATGATCCGGCTCACTAAAAAGAGACGGAATTCCCATCACTACACACAACTGCTGACCAGCCGCAGCACCGGAAATGGAACTGCTGGGTGAAAAACTGACTATCAGATGTAACGTTATCTTTGATAATATTTCGTCTCCTCCTTTTTCGTCAACGAAAGTAAAGAGAGATTTTGGCAACGTTTTTATTTAGTAAACTACATTTTGTCTCGTCACTTTTCGTCAACGATATTGCATGTTCATTTCGTTACAGTTACTGTTTACTGACGTCGGTGCCGTCTCGTCATCGTCTCGTCTTAGTCATGGAAAAAAAGTTTGTTGTAGAACATATTTCGTCATAGTTTTAGTCAACGCAATTAACACTATAATACACACATTCACAAAGATACACACACAAACAGTAAACAGTACATAGAAAACATACTGTAGTGTAAGATATTAAATAAAAAAGATTAATGGTTGTGGTTGAAGATAACTCTAAAACACAAATGTATTTCTTTCTGTTTGTGTGTGTCTGTGTGTGTGTGTGTGTCTGTGTGTGTGTGAGACAGCTGCAACAGCTGCACCAGCTGCAACAGCTGCAACAGCTGCAACAGCTGCAACACCTGCAACACCTGCATTGATTTTTGCTGCCACAGCTGCAACACCTGCAACAGCGGCAACAGCTGCAACAGCGGCAACAGCGGCAACACCTGCATTGATTTTTGCTGCCACAGCTGCAACACCTGCAACAGCGGCAACAGCGGCAACAGCTGCAACAGCAGCAACAGCGGCAACACCTGCATTGATTTTTGCTGCCACAGCTGCAACACCTGCAACAGCGGCAACAGCGGCAACAGCGGCAACAGCGGCAAAAGCTGCAACAGCGGCAACAGCGGCAACAGCTGCAACAGCGGCAACAGCGGCAACACCTGCATTGATTTTTGCTGCCACAGCTGCAACACCTGCAACAGCGGCAACAGCGGCAACAGCGGCAACAGCGGCAACAGCTGCAACAGCGGCAACAGCTGCAACAGCGGCAACAGCGGCAACAGCGGCAACAGCGGCAACAGCTGCAACAGCGGCAACAGCAGCAACAGCAGCAACAGCAGCAACAGCTGCAACAGCTGCAACAGCAGCAACAGCTGCAACAGCGGCAACAGCGGCAACAGCGGCAACAGCTGCAACAGCGGCAACAGCGGCAACAGCGGCAACAGCTGCAACAGCGGCAACAGCAGCAACACCTGCATTGATTTTTGCTGCCACCGCTGCAACACCTGCAACAGCGGCAACAGCTGCAACAGCGGCAACAGCTGCCACAGCGGCAACAGCGGCAAAACCTGCATTGATTTTTGCTGCCACAGCTGCAACACCTGCAACAGCGGCAACAGCGGCAACAGCTGCAACAGCTGCAACAGCTGCAACAGCTGCAACAGCTGCAACAGCGGCAACAGCTGCAACAGCGGCAACAGCTGCAACAGCTGCAACAGCGGCAACAGCGGCAACAGCTGCAACAGCTGCAACAGCTGCAACAGCGGCAACAGCGGCAACACCTGCATTGAATTTTGCTGCCACAGCTGCAACACCTGCAACAGCGGCAACAGCTGCAACAGCTGCAACAGCGGCAACACCTGCATTGATTTTTGCTGCCACAGCTGCAACACCTGCAACAGCGGCAACAGCTGCAACAGCGGCAACACCTGCATTGATTTTTGCTGCCACAGCTGCAACACCTGCAACAGCGGCAACAGCGGCAACAGCTGCAACAGCTGCAACAGCGGCAACAGCGGCAACAGCTGCAACACCTGCAACAGCGGCAACAGCTGCAACAGCGGCAACAGCGGCAACACCTGCATTGATTTTTGCTGCCACAGCTGCAACACCTGCAACAGCGGCAACAGCGGCAACAGCTGCAACAGCAGCAACAGCAGCAACACCTGCATTGATTTTTGCTGCCACAGCTGCAACACCTGCAACAGCGGCAACAGCGGCAACAGCGGCAACAGCGGCAACAGCTGCAACAGCGGCAACAGCGGCAACAGCTGCAACAGCGGCAACAGCGGCAACACCTGCATTGATTTTTGCTGCCACAGCTGCAACACCTGCAACAGCGGCAACAGCGGCAACAGCGGCAACAGCGGCAACAGCTGCAACAGCGGCAACAGCTGCAACAGCGGCAACAGCGGCAACAGCGGCAACAGCGGCAACAGCTGCAACAGCGGCAACAGCAGCAACAGCAGCAACAGCAGCAACAGCTGCAACAGCTGCAACAGCAGCAACAGCTGCAACAGCGGCAACAGCGGCAACAGCGGCAACAGCTGCAACAGCGGCAACAGCGGCAACAGCGGCAACAGCTGCAACAGCGGCAACAGCAGCAACACCTGCATTGATTTTTGCTGCCACCGCTGCAACACCTGCAACAGCGGCAACAGCTGCAACAGCGGCAACAGCTGCAACAGCGGCAACAGCGGCAAAACCTGCATTGATTTTTGCTGCCACAGCTGCAACACCAGCAACAGCGGCAACAGCGGCAACAGCTGCAACAGCTGCAACAGCTGCAACAGCGGCAACAGCTGCAACAGCTGCAACAGCGGCAACAGCTGCAACAGCGGCAACAGCTGCAACAGCTGCAACAGCGGCAACAGCGGCAACAGCTGCAACAGCTGCAACAGCTGCAACAGCGGCAACAGCGGCAACACCTGCATTGAATTTTGCTGCCACAGCTGCAACACCTGCAACAGCGGCAACAGCTGCAACAGCTGCAACAGCGGCAACACCTGCATTGATTTTTGCTGCCACAGCTGCAACACCTGCAACAGCGGCAACAGCGGCAACAGCTGCAACAGCGGCAACACCTGCATTGATTTTTGCTGCCACAGCTGCAACACCTGCAACAGCGGCAACAGCTGCAACAGCGGCAACACCTGCATTGATTTTTGCTGCCACAGCTGCAACACCTGCAACAGCGGCAACAGCTGCAACAGCAGCAACAGCAGCAACACCTGCATTGATTTTTGCTGCCACAGCTGCAACACCTGCAACAGCGGCAACAGCGGCAACAGCGGCAACAGCGGCAAAAGCTGCAACAGCGGCAACAGCGGCAACAGCTGCAACAGCGGCAACAGCGGCAACACCTGCATTGATTTTTGCTGCCACAGCTGCAACACCTGCAACAGCGGCAACAGCGGCAACAGCGGCAACAGCGGCAACAGCTGCAACAGCGGCAACAGCTGCAACAGCGGCAACAGCGGCAACAGCGGCAACAGCGGCAACAGCTGCAACAGCGGCAACAGCAGCAACAGCAGCAACAGCAGCAACAGCTGCAACAGCTGCAACAGCAGCAACAGCTGCAACAGCGGCAACAGCGGCAACAGCGGCAACAGCTGCAACAGCGGCAACAGCGGCAACAGCGGCAACAGCTGCAACAGCGGCAACAGCAGCAACACCTGCATTGATTTTTGCTGCCACCGCTGCAACACCTGCAACAGCGGCAACAGCTGCAACAGCGGCAACAGCTGCAACAGCGGCAACAGCGGCAAAACCTGCATTGATTTTTGCTGCCACAGCTGCAACACCAGCAACAGCGGCAACAGCGGCAACAGCTGCAACAGCTGCAACAGCTGCAACAGCGGCAACAGCTGCAACAGCTGCAACAGCGGCAACAGCTGCAACAGCGGCAACAGCTGCAACAGCTGCAACAGCGGCAACAGCGGCAACAGCTGCAACAGCTGCAACAGCTGCAACAGCGGCAACAGCGGCAACACCTGCATTGAATTTTGCTGCCACAGCTGCAACACCTGCAACAGCGGCAACAGCTGCAACAGCTGCAACAGCGGCAACACCTGCATTGATTTTTGCTGCCACAGCTGCAACACCTGCAACAGCGGCAACAGCGGCAACAGCTGCAACAGCGGCAACACCTGCATTGATTTTTGCTGCCACAGCTGCAACACCTGCAACAGCGGCAACAGCTGCAACAGCGGCAACACCTGCATTGATTTTTGCTGCCACAGCTGCAACACCTGCAACAGCGGCAACAGCGGCAACAGCTGCAACAGCTGCAACAGCGGCAACAGCTGCAACACCTGCAACAGCGGCAACAGCTGCAACAGCTGCAACAGCGGCAACACCTGCATTGATTTTTGCTGCCACAGCTGCAACACCTGCAACAGCGGCAACAGCGGCAACAGCGGCAACACCTGCATTGATTTTTGCTGCCACAGCTGCAACACCTGCAACAGCGGCAACAGCGGCAACAGCGGCAACAGCTGCAACAGCGGCAACAGCTGCAACAGCTGCAACAGCGGCAACAGCTGCAACAGCGGCAACAGCTGCAACAGCTGCAACAGCTGCAACAGCGGCAACAGCTGCAACAGCGGCAACAGCTGCAACAGCTGCAACAGCGGCAACAGCGGCAACAGCTGCAACAGCGGCAACAGCTGCAACAGCTGCAACAGCGGCAACACCTGCATTGATTTTTGCTGCCACAGCTGCAACACCTGCAACAGCGGCAACAGCGGCAACAGCTGCAACAGCGGCAACACCTGCATTGATTTTTGCTGCCACAGCTGCAACACCTGCAACAGCGGCAACAGCTGCAACAGCTGCAACAGCGGCAACACCTGCATTGATTTTTGCTGCCACAGCTGCAACACCTGCAACAGCGGCAACAGCGGCAACAGCTGCAACAGCGGCAACACCTGCATTGTTTTTTGCTGCCACAGCTGCAACACCTGCAACAGCGGCAACAGCGGCAACAGCTGCAACAGCTGCAACAGCGGCAACAGCTGCAACAGCGGCAACACCTGCATTGATTTTTGCTGCCACAGCTGCAACACCTGCAACAGCGGCAACAGCTGCAACAGCTGCAACAGCGGCAACACCTGCATTGATTTTTGCTGCCACAGCTGCAACACCTGCAACAGCGGCAACAGCTGCAACAGCTGCAACAGCGGCAACACCTGCATTGATTTTTGCTGCCACAGCTGCAACAGCTGCAACAGCGGCAACAGCTGCAACAGCTGCAACAGCGGCAACACCTGCATTGATTTTTGCTGCCACAGCTGCAACACCTGCAACAGCGGCAACAGCGGCAACAGCGGCAACAGCTGCAACAGCTGCAACAGCTGCAACAGCTGCAACAGCGGCAACAGCTGCAACAGCGGCAACAGCTGCAACAGCTGCAACAGCGGCAACGCCTGCATTGATTTTTGCTGCCACAGCTGCAACACCTGCAACAGCGGCAACAGCGGCAACAGCGGCAACAGCTGCAACAGCGGCAACACCTGCATTGATTTTTGCTGCCACAGCTGCAACACCTGCAACAGCGGCAACAGCGGCAACAGCTGCAACAGCTGCAACAGCGGCAACAGCGGCAACAGCTGCAACAGCGGCAACAGCTGCAACAGCTGCAACAGCGGCAACAGCGGCAACAGCTGCAACAGCGGCAACAGCTGCAACAGCTGCAACAGCGGCAACAGCTGCAACAGCTGCAACAGCGGCAACAGCTGCAACAGCTGCAACAGCGGCAACACCTGCATTGATTTTTGCTGCCACAGCTGCAACACCTGCAACAGCGGCAACAGCTGCAACAGCTGCAACAGCTGCAACAGCGGCAACAGCGGCAACAGCGGCAACAGCTGCAACAGCAGCAACAGCGGCAACAGCTGCAACAGCGGCAACAGCTGCAACAGCTGCAACAGCGGCAACAGCGGCAACAGCGGCAACAGCTGCAACAGCTGCAACAGCTGCAACAGCGGCAACAGCTGCAACAGCTGCAACAGCGGCAACAGCGGCAACAGCGGCAACAGCTGCAACAGCGGCAACAGCTGCAACAGCTGCAACAGCTGCAACAGCGGCAACAGCTGCAACAGCTGCAACAGCGGCAACAGCTGCAACAGCTGCAACAGCGGCAACACCTGCATTGATTTTTGCTGCCACAGCTGCAACACCTGCAACAGCGGCAACAGCTGCAACAGCTGCAACAGCTGCAACAGCGGCAACAGCGGCAACAGCGGCAACAGCTGCAACAGCAGCAACAGCGGCAACAGCTGCAACAGCTGCAACAGCGGCAACAGCTGCAACAGCTGCAACAGCGGCAACAGCGGCAACAGCGGCAACAGCTGCAACAGCTGCAACAGCTGCAACAGCGGCAACAGCTGCAACAGCTGCAACAGCGGCAACAGCGGCAACAGCGGCAACAGCTGCAACAGCTGCAACAGCTGCAACAGCGGCAACAGCGGCAACAGCGGCAACAGCGGCAACAGCTGCAACAGCTGCAACAGCGGCAACAGCTGCAACAGCGGCAACAGCTGCAACAGCTGCTGCAGTTCCCCGTGAAGATGGCAGGATCATTGGCGGTTATGAGTGTTCGCCTCACTCTCGTCCATACATGGCCTCCCTCAACTACGGGTACCACTTCTGTGGCGGGGTGCTGATCAACAATCAGTGGGTGCTCTCTGTTGCCCACTGTTGGTACAAGTAAGTAAGCATTGATGGGAAAAATATTACTCTCAAATAAAATATGCGGTATGGAATTTGTTCCAAAGATCTGTAATTTTTTTTATAGATTATTATTATTATGCATTTTTTGTTCTTCATTTAAAAAAAAAATCTTAAGATCAATCAATGAGCTGTATCGCAGACACGTTAAATGTGTGTTTAGCTTTATATCTTAAAAAAAAGAATTTAGTCTTTGAAAAATGCAGAACATTTAGAGATTAAGAGTGTTGTAGAGATATTAGAGTACAGAATAGTGAAAACTTTCACTGCTTCCACATGTTTCTATAACGTTGTACCTCCTCTCTCAGTCCCTATTCCATGCAGGTCATTCTGGGCGATCACAACTTGCGAGTGTTTGAGGGAACAGAGCAGCTCATGAAGACCGACACCATCATCTGGCATCCTAGGTGAGGGAAACATTTAAAAATTCCCCCCTTCTTCTCTTTGAATACCCTAAATCGCATCTGAGCCATTCATCCGGTCGGTGCAGAGGAACAGCTGCCGTCTAAAGCGTGTTTTGTATTTTCTGTATGCAGCTATGACTACCAGACTCTGGATTTCGACATCATGCTGATCAAGCTGTACCACCCAGTGGAGGTGACGGAGGCGGTCGCCCCCATCCCGTTGCCCACAGGGCGTCCCTATGCAGGGCTTTCCTGCTCTGTGTCCGGCTGGGGTAACACCAACCTTGGAGGAGAGGGTGGGTTGATTATTATGTGTTGTATTGTACAGCTTAACAACAGACTTAAAGGTCACCTATTATGCAAAATCCACTCTTTTATACATAAACATGTGTCCCCTCTGTGTAAAGAGATTCTGAAAGTTTCAGGAAAAAATATTTGCTCACTTTCTTTCCTGATCCATTTATATAAAAACCTGTCTGAAAATGAGCTGATCAGATGTTGGCCACTTTATGATGTCATAACGATTTTTTGGCTTGTGTAACCATTAGCCAATAACCAACCAAGGTAACCCCCCCCCCCCCCCACACACACACACACCTTATCACCTGAATCTCCTCCTAGATCACCATTGTGTTCTTTTTAACCAAATATCTCTCAGAGGGGCGTGGGGAGTGGCTCCTTATTTTCATCTAAAGTAACAGACAGAGAATCAGCACTTTTGAAACAGGGCTGAAACAGAGGGGATTATGGGATGCTACAATGATCTGTTTGGTATTTCCAGCCAAACACTTCAGAGACATGTTTTGTATATATCTGAGACCTGTAATATATTGATGAAAAACAGTATAATAGGGGACCTTTAATGAGACCATCCCAGTGAACAGGTCATGATGTTGTTTTCAAATCATTCATTTCCCCAGGTCAAAGCTGGACAGCAAGGTTAACAGTGTTTTTCTTTCCATACAATCCTCCACTGGGGGTATCAAAGTTGACCTTTTAAGCTTAACTGAGTCTGGCAAGAGTCTGTATTTCTTTCTCACTGTCAGAAAGTCCATGAAAAGCTCAAACGCAGCAGTGAATTTATTGTTAAAAAAAACAAAAAAACAAGTCAAAGTCTGATAAAGCTTTTCTTGTGCGTCATTGACCTCCATTGTTTTCCAGAAACTTCACTGAACCACATTGTGCTTTATAGATTTTTAGATCCATCCAGCTGATACTTATAGAGCCAGATGTGTATCAATCAACAACACAAAATAGTGCCCAATAAATGTATTCTTGATTGTGTTACGTGTACAAAAAACAACAACTTCAGCTTCCTGAGATGGTATATATTTCTGACCTGTTATATAGGTTATATTTATTGGGATCAATTAAAATATTTAAATGCGATTAATCAAATGATTTCCATAATTAACTTGCGATTAATTGCAATTTGTTTTATCTGTTATAAATGTACCTATAGGCCTAAGGGAAGTTTTTAATACTCTTATCAACGTGGGAGTGTACAAATATGATGGCTTTATACAAAATGTACAGTATGTTTATTATTATAGCAACAAAATAAAACAAAGGTAAATTTAATTTAAGGTAATCTGCCTGCAAGCTGTTACCTTCAAACTAAACGTGTGTAAAAGTGCATTTACTCAAGTACTTCAGTACAATCTTGAGGTACTTGTACTTTAGCTAGGTATTTTCATTTAAATGCTATTTTAAAATTCTACTTCACTACATTTTAGAAGCCAATATGTTTACTTTATACTCCACTACTATGTATCTGACAACCTTTTCCTTAAAAACAATTTTTTTAGGAGTTTTCTATAACGTCCTCTGTTGTGTGTGTTACAGTGTACATGCCCACCCTCCTTCAGTGTTTGAACGTGCCCATAGTGGACCAGCAGGTCTGTGAGAACGCCTATCCTGGCATGATCTCCCCCAGGATGGTGTGTGCCGGATACATGGAGGGAGGCAAAGACGCATGCAATGTGAGTCTTACAGTCACTTCTTCTCAGCTGTGTGTGTGTGGAAGAATAAATCACATGCTCACACTCTGTGTTTCATCCCCAGGGTGACTCTGGCAGCCCTCTGGTGTGTGACGGAGAGTTGCACGGCCTGGTGTCATGGGGTCAGGGATGTGCCGAGCCAAACTATCCCGGGGTCTACGTCAAACTGTGTGAGTTCCACTCCTGGTTTGAAGAGGTCCTGGCAGCCAATCCCTAAAGAAATTACCAGTTTATTTTCTTCACTTCTCCCACTGGTTCACAGCCCTGGTTTTTATTTTTCAGTCTTCTCTCTGGTGCCAATCAAGACTCTTAACACACATGTGCCAGAATGTTGAAAACTAAATAAAATCACTTGGTATTCACTTGTCTGTTCATGTCTTTAATGTGAAAACATACACCAATCACTTATACGCTCAAGTATGTGTTAGGTACAGGTTTATGTATTTGATTTAATACCATTTAAGACAGTTTGATGGTGCTATATCGCTTTGATATACAGTAGAGGGTTTAAAAGCTGTTATAAGGAACATGTTCATGGTATGGGTTAAACAGTGAGGTAGCACATTTCTCTCCCCAGTCATGTGATAGCCCCCTTCCTTTTTCATAAGGGTTAGGGTTATAATTATAATATCAAGCATTTCAATAATTTCCATTATTTAAGGGGGGCTCATAAAATGTTTGAATTATAAAGAATAAGTGCTGAACCTACTGCTGAGATAATGGCAGTGTAATTATTGAACAGTAGGAGGCCTCAGTGAGAAATCTTCCTGTCAGTCCCACCCACTCATTACAGCTAAACATGACACCAGAAACTATTTTTACTTTCACTGAGGGCTGATTATCTTGCAAAGGTGCTCAGGACGACATTCTTCTCGTCATCTCTTCCGGGTCACATTTGTCTTCTCTGAGCCCCGCTCTCCGTTCCTCCCTCTCTTTGCGTCTTTGCCTCTGTTTGACTGGGCTGGAGGGTCCGAGCCATGCTGCTGCACCTACACACAAAAAGAGATTGTACTAAAATGTCTGACTCAACTCTTAAATACATTTTCATTTTAAAATAATGATATATATTAACTTCTAGCTAGCCTTTCAAACAAAGGTGTCACTCAAAGCATTACTAATTGCTGCATTGCAATAATAGCTGGAACTGTCATTTATGTGTTCTGCAATAACTTGCTGAATGTCTGCTATGAAAGGGTCTATGAATAGGATTTATTTGGGGTAAGAAATACAAGATGTTAGCAAGGATTATACGATTCACGCCAGCAAGATTTACTTATAAGTAAAAGACATTGTGGACAGACTTTTGCGAGTCAAGGAACTACTCATTTGCATGAAATAACAGAATGAGACACATCCATGAAAAAAAAAACATATGTTACAAAATATATTTGTGCAACAGGGAAGACTTGACATTTATGTATTGCTCTGTGAAAGGGAACCATAGACTTATCATTTCATTTTACAGTTTTTGAGACACATAATGTTTCAAGTGGAGAATAATCGTATATATAGTTTCAAAGACTGTATGTGCACAACACAAGTTTATAAAATGCCAGCCCTCTGAGAGGAAGATGCAGACTTTGCTTCTGTGAGATATTCAGCACTGCTTAAAACAGAACAATACTAATCAGAAATAGGTATATACAAATAAACACAATGCAATATTAAATAAACAAAGGCATGACAACCACAATCTCAAATGCAAAAAATCCTTGCATCTGCAAATGTTGCAATGCTGATCTACATCTGAAGATCACTATCTTAGTATTCAGTTAATAAGTGAGCCACATCTTGCATAGTATTGGCCTTGCAGACTGCTTCCTGTACTCTGTTTTTGACAGATCGTTTTCTGCACCTACCACCTAAATAAATGGGTCTATTTTTTTAAGTGGTGTGTATCTCCCTTTTTTTTAGCAGACATTTTTTATTTAGTAATGGTGGAAAGTAAGAGCAGAGAGCAGCGTTGTTAAACACTTTTTTGTTCACGAGCCACATTCATCCCGATTTTATCTCAAGTGGCGTGGACGAGTAAAACCATTTCATGATAAATAACAACACCTCCAAATGTTATTTTAGCGTAGAGAAATGCATTAACATTCTGAAAATGGTCAAAATAAATGCCTTTGCAAAACAGATGATAAACAGCCTGAGGTTATAGGTGCAATTTCAAAAATACTATATATATATATATATAGTATCCACACTCACTCTGTCTGACGCCGAAAAGCTTGTCCACGCCTCTGTCTCCTCCAGGCTGGACTACTGCAATGCACTCCTCATCGAGATCCCTAAAAAAAGCATCCAGAAGCTCCAGTACATCCAGAACAGCACTGCTAGGATCCTGATGAGGGTGCGCAAATATGATTATATCACCCCCATCCTTAAATCACTACACTGGCTCCCCGTGGAACTGAGGATTGAATACAAGGTCTCCCTCCTCACTCACCAGTGTATCCATGGAACTGCCCCTCCCTACCTCAAGGAACTCCTCACACACACACACACACACACACACACACACACACACACACACACACACACACACACACACACACGCAAGTTAGTGATTTTAAGGCTGTTTCAGTGAGACAATGCAGTTTTGATAACTTTAATAGCCTGACTTTTTTTAAATGTTGTTTTAGATGCTTTACTGTGACTTCTTTCATGTTATTTTTAACATAACATTACTTTTTTCAACATGCTGTTTTCATTTTTTCCCTCTATGACTTCGTTCATTATATTTTGAGATATACAGAGATTTTTATCAACATACAAATATTACAACATACAACTCACTTTTTATGACATTTTTCAACAAACTTTACTTGTACCTTCTTTCCTTTTTTGTAGGGTTGCAGGATATTTTGCACGTCATGCATAAAACCTCTCATCTTTTCTTGAAACTGACATACATTTGAAAAAAAAGGACTAGACTAGTGCTGTCCTTTTTACAAACAAGTTATTTTTCTGCTTCTTCCTCGCCCGTGTCTCTTCCTTCAGCCATCACAACAATCAAGTCAGATCTATCAAATTAATCATCTACCCCTTCCTTTTCCCCACCCTAGGGTCCATGTGACTCTGTAGAGTCAAAACACCTCCCACTCCAGACCCTCCCCCTTCTTTTACCTCCCTTTCCTGTTGTATGCTCAGTCCCTGTGACTCTGTCTATGGCAGGTGTCCCCACACTGTTGGTTTAAAACAAAAAGTAATCTTTCAGATAATCTAGTTCCTTTCTCACAGTATGGGCTTTAAAAAAGAAGAATAGACATCTTTGAGGGATGTAACATCACAGTTTTAGTGAAAATCTTTTCTTTACATGTCACAGTTTCTTTACTGTTTTTGAGATAACAGTGTCTCCCATTGTCTCCCCACACAAGCAACCACACACACAAAACACACACACACTATACTGTGACTCTAAAAGGCTAGTTTGTGGGACCTTTTTACATTTTTTATGATATTCTGATATACCATACAGTACGGAAACTGCACTCACAAAGGTAATTAGTGGCCTCAGACTCAACTCTGATGCAAATAAAATCTCCATCCATATCCTATTAGATCTCAGTGCAGCCTTTGATACTATTGATCACAACATCCTAATAAAACGACTTGAAAAGCTTATTGGTTTCTCTGGCTGCGTGTTGAACTGGATAAAAACATATATCAGAGGAAGGATGTTCTATATTAGTCTAGGAGGCCATACATCAGAGAAACATGAAATCCGCTACGGGGTTTCACAAGGGAGCTGTTTAGGTCCATTACTCTTTTCTCTCTATATGTTACCGCTCGGCGACATCATCAGAGAGTATGGTATAGATTTCCACAGCTATGCGGATGATACACAATTGTACATATCCGCTGAACCAAATGATGCGACAGCCATAAACTCCATTACCAACTGCCTGACAGCAATAAACAAATGGATGAACGATAACTTTCTTAAATTGAATGAGGACAAAACTGAAGTCCTACTTGTTGGCCCCAAATCAAAAAGAGAGATGCTAACAAATAATCTAGGAATCTTAACCACTTGGATTAAACCGGAGGTGACAAGTTTCGATGTCATCCTGGACTCAGATTTGAACTTCAACGCCCATTTAAACAAAGTGACCAAAATAGCTTTCTTTCATCTCAGAAACATAGCGAAGGTACGACCATTCATAAATCAAAATGATGCAGAGAAGCTAATTCATGCTTTTATATCTAGCCGACTAGACTACTGCAATGCACTATTCACTGGTCTCCCCAAGAAAACTATTGAAAGACTCCAGCTCATTCAAAACTCTGCAGCTAGACTACTAACTAATACCAAAAGGAGGGAACACATTAGTCCTGTCTTAGCAAATCTACACTGGCTTCCTGTAACTTTTAGAATAGATTTTAAGGTGCTTCTCCTCACATACAAAGCTCTAAATGGACAAGGACCCAGCTACATTGCTGACTCTCTAATAAACTACACACACGCCAGAACACTGCGATCATCAGATGCAGGTCTATTAGAGGTCACCAGAAAGAGTCATAAGAAGATCGGTGATGCAGCCTTTGTAAACTACGCCCCAAAACTGTGGAACACGTAACCCAACAATATTAGGGAAGCCAATATGTTAGACATTTTTAAAAGGCAGCTTAAAACCTATCTCTTTACCAAAGCATTTTACTGACTTTACACTATTATACTGCACTATTTCTCTGTGATTGACATGGCACTATTTCTCTATGTTTTATTCCCCATGTTTTTATGTTTAATTATTTTATCCCACTTTATGCTTTGCTCTTGCTGCTTGTTTTACACTGATTGTATGTCTTATTTCTTACTGATGTAAAGCACTTTGAACTGCAATCCCCTGTATGAAAGGTGCTATACAAATAAAGTTATTATTAAATAAAGTTATTATTATCCTCATTGACTATAATGGCTTACTAGGGGGATACTAAAACAGGTGTCACATCAAAGGGGCAATAGTCTTATCACCCCCTATTGAGCAACATCCTTTATGAGGAGGGCAATAAAACAGCTAAACAAGTCATACTACCATCATTGACTATAATGGTTTCATCGTTGACTATAATAACCTACTAAGGACACTATAACAGGTTTCACATGAAAGGGGCAATAAAGTCTTATCACCCCACTATTGAGCAACATCTTTTATGAGGGGGCAATAAAACAATAAACAAACAAGTCATAAAAGATAAGAGGGTCAAAGGTCAGAGATGTCAGAGTGACAGGTGCCACATCAAAGGGATTTGGAGGCGGGACTAAGGTTTATGAGGGTCATAAATCACTCTCTTATCAGGTGCTTAATCTAATTTTGACTAAAACAGTGGTCTTTGAACTACTGTCAATGTTTGTAGTTGACAAG